AACCTCTAAATTAGAGTGCATTCCTCTCAAATTTCCTACGTTATTTCTTGCGTCATAAGAAATGTCAGCTATACTGTCGCAGGCGACCCAAGCTCACGTTAAGAGGGTGGAATTTAAGTCTTGCAACTTGAGCTTGGGACGCCTGTGATACCATTAACTACCACTATTAACTTCACCAAAATTGCATTGTCCTTCCTGTGATACAGGAAGGAAGGAAGTTTAACTCAGTGATTTCCATTCTACGCGGCATGTAAGGACACGTCTAAACGAATCTGGATATTTTTAAAACCACATATTTTGTTCAATGAAGCGTCCTTCTGTTGACACGAAGCCAGTGAATCCGTTTACCAAACTGCATCTTTTTGAAACCGCTCTCATGAGTTATATAAAGCCCGGTCCAAACTGGCGAATCCGGCAAACAGATTTGCGGCTTCAAAACTGTTGGGATTCATGTAGACGGGGCCACGATATGTTAATTTCCTTTGAGAGAAAATGGCAAAAGTAGGATTGATAACACAATGCATTAAATCCTTTTTACACCGAAAATTTCATTTCGTGAATGTATGATGTCGTCCAGCAATTGGCCTACTCACAAGCGGAAGAGGACGTATAATGCATTAACATACAACAGAAAAGGATGTTTGGAACAGACTTCAAGAAAACTCTAAAACAAATTAAATTTAAATTTTGATAAAATTCGTCTCTGAAAAGTTCAAAACAAATAAATGCACATTCAAACAAAAGAATTTTAGAATGTTTGGCAATTATTTGATATTGTACTAGAAAGACAATCGCGAAGACAGGTTTTGTCGAAAATACAAAAATGGAAGACAATAAGGGATTAACCGACAAACTTCGAAGACTTTTCAAACTTATTAAAAGTTGAATAAATTAAGTTATTAACTACAATGAAAGGGTTCTGAACCTCATATTAGAAAAAGTAGCTACTAAGAAATAATATAAGTCATTGGGAAGCTTTGAAAATAATAATATACTGGCTATAGAGAAAAAAACGATGACTCCAAAGTTTGAAAACGATACAGGATCATACCAATTACGCAGTGGTAACCAGTCGTGGTTCCCAAAGTTATGTCGCCCGAAATGCTGAGCGATGTCTCCCGAAAATTTTATCAGGTGTACTACACAGAGAGATGAAGATAAATAAACTGTGTGTGCAATATATATCCCGTTCTTTAAACCATCGTGAGGGTAAATGTGTAGCTAATAATGCGCATTGATGAAACGAATTAGCGGGATAAAAGCGCAATAATTTTCGTTCTTTAAGCTTCAGTTGAGGAGACGAAACAAGCGCGATGAATGTGCAATAAAGATGTTAGCATGCTGTTGAGTACGGATAAAATTCTGGGAGACATTACTCAGCAATTCTGGGACTTAATTTCGGGCGACATAACTCTGGTTTCGGGGGAGATGACTTTCGAGCGACTTGACCGTAAACCCATGTAGTATTTAAGACTGTGGTATTTACTTGCAATTCAGTAAATATGTGATTAGTGCATACCTTATTTAAACAGTGGGTGCCATTGCGTGATTACTCTCTCGCTGCCCTTCATGACTTCATTCCAGTGATTCTGCTGTTGATGACTACTTGACTGCTTACCAAAGCAAACTTCGCCAATATTCTCTCTCTTTCCTCGCCTCTCCGTTACACGGAACAACGTGAAGATAACGCCGATATTTGCTAGCTTTTCATATGTGACGCGGAACATAAACATCTCGTTGAATTCGGCATCGATAACGTGACGCTTCAGGGTTGTTCGGCAGATGCGTAGAAGCTGGTTGTTTTCTCCGATCAGCTTCATTTCCACAGCGATATCTTGCGGCTTGGAGTTGTTCAGGAGGCCCAGATTACGTGTTTTGATGACTTCGGCGATGAGTTTCCTCGTCAGTGAGCGGTATTCCAGCGAAAGAAGGATCTCGGGTTTGCTGTCTTCTGAGGACGGTTGAACAGTTTCTCCCGTAATGCTAGACAGTTGACGAGAATCGATGGCGTAGGTATCTGGAATATTCATATCCAGGGCAATGGTGACTGCTTGCGGACCAAGCCTGATCTCTCCGAGATTCACCACTCCTTGTCCGATCAGGAACTTGGACATACCGCGGTGATCGTACAACCGGAATCGCAGAGACATATGATTGATCTTATCCTTTGGGGTAAGAACCATGGTGAAAGGGTCTTTAAACTTCTTGGGGCGCACGCGAAAACTATGCTGGCGAACGGGTAAAAGCATGCAGCTCACTTCCAAATCATCCATCTTCCATTTTTGGAATGGAAGAAACTCTACACCCAGGACAGTGAGAGTCAATTTGGACGGCTGAGGATCAAAAACGAACTGCAGATTGAGCCGTCCGCCTACCCCGATCTCCCTAGAAACTCCCGACGCTGAGCCTTGTTCTTGTACAACTTGCACGCTCCCGGGTGCGTTGTAACTGGGATCCTCTTCACTTCCGACGCTGGAAGGTGCCGCAGAGACAGTACTAGCCTCCTCGTAGTTTGCCGGTTTGTAGTCATCGCTTGGTGATACAACAGAATCGCTTGTTGGAGGCGCATATTCTAGTTCCAAATCAGATCTTTTGTCTCCCGTTTCTCCATTTTGTAACACGTCCTTTCCTTGTTCTGGTGGAGCGTCTTTCAAATCAATGCTTTCAGTGCTTTTCTTCTCCACTTTTGGACGCGATCGGCCTTGAACGCAACAGCTAAAAAGCGAGAAAATCGAGACGGATGTTTTGGCTCCTTTCTCTTCTTTCTTAGACATAGTTTCTGTTCAGGCGCAAAATGTCGATTGTAAACTTGCCACGGAATGTGTGAATCCTCGTTGGAAAGGTATTCAGGCTGACTTGGAATTCTTTGACGTGGTCCTCCAAGTTTCGATTTTAGTCAACTAAACTTGTAAAGGGTTTGTGTAAACGTCCCTACTGCAGAACTTAAACGACTGCACTGTCTGTTAGACTCTGGTTAATTATCTGCATGGTATCTCAACACATAAATTTGACTTGATAATGAGATTCCAAATATCTCTCGCTCATTTGATATGTGATTTGTTGCCGGTTGGTTAAAGCCTTTGTTTTCTATTTTAAGGGAACTATGAAACACAATGCGTGGCTGGCATGGTCCGTTGCACTTCAACGAATCCTTTAAGCATTTTTCGTAAGGGACGCATTTGTAAAATTATTTATATAGTTGTTTAAACTAAGAGAAGATACAGGATTAACTCTTTTCGCAGTTGCTCCATACTTAATTTTCAGCTAATGATTTGTGTTATCACAACAAAGAACATACCTCTGTCTACAAAAAAGTAATGATAAAGGAAGGCAGTTTTTATCAACAACAGTTTCTTTATCGTGCAGAAGGGCGGGCTGTTTGCTTTTTTCGCCATAATAAAAAAGCATGTTTGGAAAAGTCATTGTTAAAGAAATCAAATTTCTATTATGGGTGGCATGTTAAACATTCTGAGCAATTTGTTTTCAATAAATAAAATTTCATTTGTCAACTGGCTGGTAGAAAGACAATACAATAATGTTTGATTCATAAATTGATAAAACTGTATGGTTGAAATAAAGGGCACTGTATCAGTTATTTATGCGGGACAAACTACAGCTGTGGCTTTTTTATATGTACATACGTTGAGGCTGAAAACTGAAAAAAGCAAAAAACAAAAACAAAACAAAACAAACAAGGAGACACAACTACGAAAGCAGATGAGGGACTTCCGATTTCCGATTTTCAACCACCGATTTCCGACTTCCGACTCCCTCTTTTTATGAAGGTTTTATTAATATTTATAAATAAATTCTACTGAGAAGTTCAAGGCAACGTCTTGTCAGTCTGTTAGATTTTTATGACCGCCTGATCACACATCGCACAAAAGTGCACGAACTAATAACTAACTCTGCAAAATTTCCGGATCTCAACAATCTTTTTTACAGAGATTGCTATTGGATTGTCAAACGATGGAAGAAAAGTATGGGCTATCAGTGCAATCAAGCACAGGAAACCATATTTGCAGGGCTACGGTTGGTTGAGATCTAGAAATTTTGCTATCATAGCAACGTGACGTGACAACTTCTCCTCGCTATGGACGTTGCTTTGGGCATTAGGAGTTGCGCACTGGGAAGCTATAGTTTGGTTGTCACTCAAGCAAATCATTGCCGTGAGTTCTGTATGCTCAAACACCCAATGCCCGATTGCTAATGACCAATTGCTAAAGCAACCTTTTTCGAATTACGTGATATATATTGTATCGGTTTTATCCACTGTCAGTTGTCTCGCTCTAAATAGGGGAATCCAGATTCTGGAATCCGAGAAATTTTTGCATGTGGAATCCGGAATCGTGGGCATTGAAATCTGGAATATAGCTCAAGGAATCCGGAATCAGACTAACGATTGGAATCCGGAATCTAAATTCCACTGATAAAGTCCGGAATCCGGACTCCACGGCCTGGAATCCAAGACTGTCTTGCAATTGCGTTGCATATGATGAGTTGTCAGTTGCCATGAAAAACACAAAATATCGGTAAGCTGAGTCGTTTTTCCAATTTTATTGTGATAAATAGTTGTTCAATATATACTTAACAGGGGCTATTTAGTTATTTTTCCATCTCTTGCAATTTTATGTACTTCTCTGATCTAAGCCAGGTAATTGCACGTGGAAGGGACCAACTCGAAATATAAAGCTATTTGGTCCCTGGAAGGTACTCCTTATAATGGTCTATACGGGGAGGCTCCTCTCGAAAAGGGTACGTTTTTCAGCAGGCTTCAGGTATATCTATAGAAAGGCCCAAAAGGGCCAACAGATGCACTTAACTGTTGTGAAAAATAACAATAATAATAATAATGAACTTTATTTAAGTCTCATGTCTTACAGCTCAGGCACAGTGCTTTACTAATTGGGGAGATTGTCGACGTTCTGGTTATGTAATTATTCATATTCAAAAGACAGTGGGTCGCAGTTAAATGAGATGGAGAGTTCCAAACTAGGTCTGTGGAAGGGGCACCATTTGGCAATATAAGGTATACGAAAAGGGTGCCTTCTCTGTCAAAAATTTTATATAAAAGGGTAAGGAGCAGAGCTTCCCCGTATAAAACTTTCTTGAGTACTCCCCCGGGCTTGCGCACTTATTTTTCACCATTGTGTAAATTGCTCCTCTTTTCCTTGTAATGTTCTGTAATGTTTATTTACAATATTCGTCTATATTGTAAAACCATTCAGAAATCTGAATCTGAATACGGCACATCAAAAAATCTTTTCACAAATGCGTGCTGCAAGGGTCGTGGGGAGGTGGACTGGACAACACCATTTCATTTGTTCCTGTTCTTTCTCGCGCATGCGGTTCAATCTCCACGCTGACGTCACACTGCTTTTCTTCTTTACGACAACAACAACAAAAGGAAAGCAAAGGATTTCGACGCTTTTTAAAGGGTGAAACTGCGTACAAAACCGTGCAAGCTAAGCCAAACTCTGTCAACCGAAATAAGGTCTCATGAATAAACCAAGGCCATGGCTCTACTTTCTTATCTTTTCCTAGAATGAAAGTAAACTCTATAACTTCGACTAGATCGTAGATTTTTAACGCAAAAAGCGCAAAGCAGAAAAATATTGTTAATACGGTGATGATAAACACTTTGCGTAAAGCTTTAGAGTTGAATTTTGCGCGTTTAATAGACGGTTTCTGTGTGTCTCGAAGGCCCGGTCTTGCAGTGACTCTCCTATGTTCACTGCTCTCTCGAAAGACTTTGTAGCCACTTCTAGTGATACGAATGCCCGTAAACAGAGTCATAGACAGCAAGTATACAGTGCACACCATGAATAACGCGGAGGTGTTTTCGACAAAAGCCGTGATCACGTCTGCTATAATCACAACGCTGAAATGTCCCACGATGATAAGGACTAAGAAGCGAACTTTCCGCAGTTTGGAGTACGTCAAGGGAGTAGGCTTGATGCTTGCTGTGAATGTTAGCTGGATCAGAGTGAACGCTGCCATGAAGCAGGGAAAGCCAAGACCAAAAACAATTCTATGAACATAAAGGGGAATCACTACATCGGCATTGTTGATGTTGGTTGTCACTTCGTACGGAAAAACCACAAGTGCCAGTGCACGGGTTATCCCGAGGACGATTATCATTGAATGCACGGCATACGAGACGTTGCGGGATACTTTTTCCCTCAAATGACGCCGCTTTGAAGCCTCGACCAGGCGCACAGAAGAGTAAACAGCTAGTCCTAAAAATAAAACTACGAATGAGATCCAGTGAAGCTCCCAGCCCCACTTAAAAGTGGCCTTTGCCTCGTACCAATCAGGAACCGGCTCTGAATTTAGAATCTTCCTTTCTCTTGTTGCTTCCAGATTGGGGCTGGCATAGCTTGAATTGGTCGTTGTATTCGTCATACCACTTTTCTTAATTAGTTTGCGGTATCAGCTACTTCCTAGTTAGGCTGTGAACGTAATTTGTTGCAATCTGCAAAAAAAAGAAACAAATAAAAAATAAATAAAGGTCTTATTCGTCGCCATTATTTCAAAGCTCTTGTATGTACTTGGAGCAGGTTGATTGTTAATTTTTCTGTGGCTGTGGAACTATTTGAAATTGCAAGTAGCGGTAGGTGATTAGTTACCCGGGAACCCCAATTGATCAGTCGAACCCCGAACCCCGCGAAGCCAAAATGACCCGACAGTGCCACTGTAGGCGGGAGAAGATAAAACAAGTGAGTTGTGCGTAATAGTTAGTTGATTAAGTAATACATAAACGAGCTACGTTTGAGTACAAACATTAACCACAAAGGACTGCAAAGGACCGCAAACGAATATGCCGAAGAACGTAGGATCTATAAAGACCTGATCTACTTTTGAGTGTTTCCAGAGAAAAAGTTCAGAAAGTTCAATCAGTACTTTCAAGGTCGATCCAAGCTCAGCAAACAATATCCTGCAGGAACAGCTGATTTGTGCTGAAAATTGGCCTCTTGATAACTAACGGTAACATATTGTCCATTTATGCGTATCAGAAGACGTTTGGGATCTACAGAGACTACGAGAAAATAAAAGTTACTCAATCCTTAAAGTGCTGATGTAATTCAGTCGTTTTCACGACTCAATTTTTTTTCAGGTTCAGAGTTTCTTTGATCTTCCAGTCAGTTAAATATTTGAGCTCAGAAACCACTGGGTCTTTATTCACTTGGTTCTTGAGGGTTTTCACTGTTTGTTTATTACGGATACTCAATCGAAAGTGCCCTTCAAAGGGATCGATATTTAGTTAATCAACTCATCATTACCAAGCAAGTACAGAAATAAAACTTCTAGCGGTTTGCAGTCTCCTTTAAGCGAAATGATCTTTTCTAGACTTTTTACCGGCAGGTTGGGAAAGTAAAGAACGATAGCTGTCCTGCTTACGCGCTGGTACGATCGACTGAGTGAACCCTGTGTCATTTATCAGTACGTTGTCGCACAAGGGGAGAAATCTTGAGAGAAAAAATGAGAGGAGACCTCCTCGATGTTCCCTTATCGTGTTCCCTTCAGCACTCTTTATAAACTAACCAAAAAACTAAACGGGGCCTGCCAAGGAGGCTACAATCAATACCAGGACGATTAGGCGTTTTTACATCTTTCTATACAACCGTGCGGCGTTGTTTAGAGAAATGGCTATGAACTTGAGATTCTCTGTGGTATGCTCTTGTTTTTTGACGTTTTTTATCATATTATTATCGAAATATCGGTGTGTACTAAAGAAGATGTGAAAGTCATCCTCAAGTGGAAATTTTAGTCAGCCAAAATTGAAGTCTCTATTAATGTAAGATGAATCCTAATAGAATTTACAAAGCAAAGAACACAATAATCTCAACATCATACCTTGCCCGGTCAGTATTAAGCTTACAAAGCTTGAATCTCACACCAATACGGCTGGATGTTGTTGTACCTATCTTGCACTGCTTGAGTTTTGGCTCTCGCTTGCGTGTCCTCCTACATGCTGTGAAATCAGTTTGTTTTCTTCATGTTTCCTTTTACCCACGACTCTTATACTTGTAGACTGACGTCTTCAACAAGGCGAAGAGTCTACAAGTACTAAAAAACGTCAATTGCCTTTAATTGTTTATTATATTGTTACACGCCGATAGAATATTAACTCGCTTAGTCACCCGCAATTTTCCCAGGAGTAATATCTTTGAAGTTTGGCCTGTATTGGATGCATTCTTCAAGTGCTTTTGATTGGGAACAAGTTTATAACCGCTGTCTATGATTCGGAAAACCCTCCAAAGGCAAAAAATTGTTGTAAATTAGTAACCAGCTGAAAACTTGGGATTTGACTTTCTAAAAGTTCGTCATATGAAAACCGTTGTCAGATCAATTAAAGCTTTGAAAAGACAGACGCATTAAGTAGCAGCAACATCACCGTAATGTTGTTGCTAAAACAAATCATCATTTTTAAAATGCAATCTTTCGTAATTTTAGTAAAATTACCGGCGATCTGATTCAGCATGTGACATCAGTCCCAGATGATATCGGCTCGGAAAATTGAGTGATTTTGTCTCATGAACATTTAGTTTGTTTATTTACCAAGGAACAACAGTTTTTGTTTATTCAGTTAGTATTTTCGAAATATCAAAATCAGTTTTACTTTTCATGTGGCGGTGACTTATTTTTTATGTTTGAGTGTCTAGAAAACGAAAGGCTAGCTGCTGCATTATAACAAACGCGTGACTTATCTTTTAGGATATAGAGGTCTTGAATTGAACTGAAGAAATGAGACTTTTCGGGATACAATTATCCTCTTTGTATACACGCAATACTTTAAAACAGGCCAATATGCAAGATTCGTTCCATCTTTTGCTAAACCAGTGTTTTTTTAGAGCGATGAATCATTACCTGAGGTTATGTAACGTAGAATGAAAGAATATTGCTGCCTCATTCCCGTCTTCACGAAATTCAAGCTCTAGACTTCACTCGGCTTGTTTCTTCGAGCCCATTTCATACAAGTACTTTGCTCAAGCTTTCATTAACGTCCAGAGTCAAATTATTTTTGCTTTCATTTCTTTCCTTCGATCGCAAACAACAACACAAGCTAAAACCCTAAAAACAAATAAGTAAAGTTCATCCGTTGCCATGCAAATGACCCCCAGCACACCCCTACCACCCCCCGCCCCCGTCCAAAATCTTCACATTTAAACAAGGATCAGTTAAAGCTTCGAATTCTTTCCACACAAACAGCCTCAAAAAATACTGCTATTTATCAACCGAATGATTATCGTTAGCAAATTTTAACAACTGGCCCAATACACTAAAAATCCGGATATAAGAATCTAGAATTTCCGAGGTCAGGATAAAAAGGTTCTTATATTATAGGGTAGTTTTTCACAGTTCATCCTGATTAGGTTCTTAATAGGTTCTTAGGTTTCAGAGGTTGTCGTAGTGTAACGATTGGCAGAAATATATAGATATTGTTTTAGATTTCAAATCGTCTATATTGCACTTTAGCTTTAAGGAAAACATATTTCTAGTGAAAATCCAAACAAACGTATAAAATCAAAGAAAACATATACGCAACAACTTTTTGTCAGAGGCTTCACACAAAATTACAATCCAAAATTTTGACCATCAAAATTGGAGTGATCTTTTTTTGTATAAGAACCTATTTTTCTTTGCCAGGCTGACCAGTTTCTTATATTTTTTGGTATTTAAATGCCAAATTTCAGCCTGTAGGTTCTTAAATCACTAGGTTCGTACATGCGGGTTTTTACTGTATTCATTAAAAAAAAATGTCTGCCATGTTTTATAAATTCTTTAGTGTTGTTTATTTGCACCAGTTTTGGGCGGTTTTTCAATTTGCTGTTTCTTTTCTCGACGTGTGAACCAAAAAAGAAATCAGTGTAAAAAAAATAAGAGAGAAAAAACGCAGAAAATGCCAAGGGGTCTGCCCAGGAGTTTGACGTCCAGGGAATCACGAGACTAAAGTTTTTCTACTCGTTTTGAAAGGGAAGAAAAGTTAAGGTAACAGCACAACAAGATGTTACAAAATTTAGGTCGAGAAATAGGTTGGCTCATTAAAACAGTTTTGTCAGTTTGTTAAAAAATATATTCTAGTTGAAAAACGCACGATGGTTTATATTGGTTTAAGATGTTCAAGTATCTAAGTCATGAACCCGGTCTTGAAATTACTCCTTGGTTCAAATCCCGGGGAGGGGTACTCCCATACATTACCTATACGGGTATGTGCCGCCCAAAGGGGTCGTGATTTTGAAGCTCCTGATTTAGAAAGGGGTATCCATTTCAGAGGCGTTTTTTAGAACGGGGTATAATATTTCGAACGCACGAAAGCTCCACTTTTGTAGGCAGACATTTGAAATTATTCAAGGACAGATTGCTTTTAAACATACGGTTCAATGCGTTAGCAAGCAAACTGTTGTACTCTTGTTGCACCTTAGAACGGAGTATAAAAAATTGGCCCATTTCTAGAACGGGGTATCAGTTTTAGGGCGAATTCTACAACGGGGTATAAAAAATTGGCCCATTTCTAGAACGGGGTATCAAATTTAGGGGAAATTTTTTCCAGAACGGGGTGCCAATTTGGAGTCCCGGGCGGCACATACCCACCCAAAAAATACCCAAGTGCCCCCCCGGGGTTCTAATCTTTCACAGTTTTATGGTATTTTGTCTAAAATTGCCTATTTTCATTAATTGCGAGCTCTAGAAAGAAAGTTTTGAGTCTTCTATTCTGGACAAAGACTAACCCTGACAAGTACAAAACCCTTTTTTTAAAACCATGTAAGTCGAGTTTATCCGACAGCAGTCGGTTTTTATCTTTGTCAATCAGTGTTGCTCATATTCATGCCGCATGTTAGCGTTTGCATTTCCTTTGTATTTTTCTACTGTTTCAAGTCGTTATTGTGATATTTCGATGAATAGCCCTAAAAAGTAAGTCTGGAGTCTTTTATTATGGACAAGGCAACATATCAAACAAAGACTAACCCTGACAAGTACAAAACCCTTTTTTTAACACCATGTAAGTCGAGTTTATCCGACAGCAATCGGTTTTTACCTTTGTCAATCAGTGTTGCCCATTCATGCCGCATGTTAGCGTTTGCATTTCCTTTGTATTTTTCTGCTGTTTCAAGCGGTTATTGCGATATTTCGATGAATAGTCTTTCCTTACAGTTTCACCCAATGAAATTCCATTTCTAAATTGCGCAACTTGACGGACTGATTGCCAGTGAGATGATTTACGATAGCCAAAGGATTAGAACCGACGGATTATAGTGACTTGAAGAGTACTAATGGAAAACGAAGACCAAAAAGTTTTACTGAGAAAATAAGAAGAAATGCCACAAAGTCAAGGATTATAGCAGTTCAAATTATACTGCTGTGTTGCTTCTGCTCAGGGATGATCAAGGAATTCACATAATAAACCGGTAATTATCGAGCACTGTCAAGTGAACTGTTTTTCTTCAGGCCACAACAAAAGAACACACAAGCAAATATCCGGCAAAGATAAACACTTTATAAATAATTTCACCTGACTCTGGATATAATGAACTCTGTGATTGTAACTAGAAAGTACTTACGGATATGGATTAAATTTTCATTGAGCGTCCGAAAAGATGATAACAAAAAGAGTACATTGGCGAGAAAGGACTGTAGACTTACTACAAGTCCACCTCACGAGCTTTTTAAGCCGCGAAGCGGCCGAGAGAGCGACAGAGACGAAGGAATTTTTGAATGTCTAGCAGGACTGAAGCAAAATGCCAAAACCAAACGGCACGCAACTCATGCGATGTTTATAGTTTCAGTTCAATTTTGATTGGTCGACAACTTTCCCAAAAAGATTTTTAGCCAATGTCGAAGATGGCCAGCGTCAAGCGCGGGAAAAGAGCGTGCCACTAAAGCAGGGTTAGCTTCAGCTAAGTTTTGATTGGTCGACAACCCGCCAAGAAACTTGTTTAGCCAATGACGAAGCGTAGTAAAGCTGGTCGCTGTCAAAGGCGGGAAAAGCGGGCGCCGCTAAAGCAGGATTAGCTTCAGCTTAGTTCTGATTGGACGGCAATTTGCCATGAGATTTTCAAGCAATTTCAAGCAATACATAATCGAGGGAACTGAGAAATACTTACAGACAATCGCGAGAAAACCCGGCGCTCAATCGAATGAGATTATGATCACACGTGACAATAATGAAGAAAACCTGTACGGTTAGTACAGCAGCATCTTCCAATAACTAGCGAAACGGCACAATGATTCGCATTACTGCATGAAATAGACCATTTTAGCTTGTATGTTTTGTTTTCCCAAGTATTTCATGTGATAATAATCTTGAGTACTGTTTTTTTTTTCAAATTTTCTTATTCACGTTCACAGCGGCGGAACATACAAGCTAAAGAGGTCTATTGAGAACTGTTAATTTCAGCCTTCGATGACTGGATTCAAGGCTGCATTCTGTTCTACCTTTGCTGTACTTCATTATGTAATCTGGTAAATTTACCTCTGTCAGTCTTTTTACACAACAATTAAAAGCAATATTGTCATAAATCACAAAACAATTAACATTTGACTTCAGTAGCTAACGTTTCGTCCGACGCTTTAACTTCCTTGTCCACTTCGCTTCTTGCTGTCGCTACTTCTTCTTCCGTTAACTTTACCCAAGGTTCTTTCTCAGTGTGATCTTTGTCCTCGCTGCTTTCTTCTTTTTTGCCTTCCCCTTCTTCTTTTTCGTCATCTTTCTCGTCAACATTCTCATTTTCGTTTTCGGCCGGTTTATCTTCGTCCTTGTTTCCCATATATTCGTGTGTGTAGAGTGGTACAAATGATTCGAAAAAGCCGCATTCCTCCGTAAGGTTTGGTAAAAGCCAGAAGTGATGTTTCCCCCATGTGCACACCCACACGATCGCAAAGAACACGTACCGCACTGTAAATAAAACGCAAAACAGAAAGTAATCAGTTCTGAAGAATTCGCAGTTGCCTTTTCGCTATCGTAAAGGAGGATTTTAAGAGGAGAGCTCTGAAAAAAAAGGACGTTCAACGGGATTTGAATTCAAAGACAATCACAAAACAAACAGAAAAAGAAACAGTCTGTACTCAACGATTTTACGGCCAAACAATTTTTTAAACCCAGCCCTCCTTCCGATAAACCGTCTCCCGGAATGGATGTTATCTAACTCAGTTTCCGTAAGTATAAAGGCATATAAAAACACACTTTAGTTACTAGAGTGTCAATGTGTTTAATACGGAAGTAATAATTAAGGACAACGCCGTTTTGGGTCCGCCATTTTTAATGGCCATCCGAGCCATGCAAAGGTCCAGGCCCCAGTTTCTCAAAAGCTGGATAGCGCTATCCACCGGATAAATCACTATCCGGTGGATAAATGTTAGGGAAACCAATTGCGCTACCTAGTGGATAGTGATTTATCCGGTGGATAGCGCTATCCACCTTTTAAACAACTGGGGCCAACTGTTTGCATGGCAAAAGCAGTACAACATTTCTAAGTTATTGTGAGACCCTGAGTATTGGTCAAGTCCCAGGAATCGAACCTGTGACCTCTTGCTCTGCAGTCAAGCGCTCTATCGACTGAACTGGTCCTGCTGCTTGAACCAACTGAGGTAATCCAGATTTCGGAGTCCTGGATTTCACGTTGCCCAGTAAATACAAGAAGTAGACGGGGAATCAAGCAGTTAGGGATTTCTTTTGCTTCTTATTCTTCTTCTATTTTCCTACGGAAGTAGCCGGGGGTTTATATTCATGGAAGCCGAAGGAAATCCCCGCCCCCCGGCCCTTAACGACAGCCCTACAAAGGTATCATGATGATTATAAAAGAAACTTACAGACAGCAAGTACAAGAATGGAGCCAACCAGAGCAGCAGCGATGACACTCAGATACCACACATATTCCCTGATGTTATATGGCCATAAAGGAAACAAGCAGATGGCGATTGTAGCTATAACTGTTGAGTAAATGACACATCTGGTAATTAACACGGAATAAACGGCCTACGACTTACACACTACATGTATAGTTGAACCTCGTCAGAACGAATAACTAAACATGCCAAACAAGACCAAATAACAAAGTTATATTGTCCTCTCTGGATATGGCAATTAAGCCCATAATTTCAAAAGTTAAGTTTTTGTGACGTCATACCTTTTCTTCTCTATTGAGGTTTTGTGCTTTGAGCAGCTTATTGCTTTCTTACGAGACGCTGATTACCCTAACAACTTTCTCGAAATGCATTGTTAGTTTCCTGTAACCCGATTGGTCAAGTTAGTCACTGCTGCTGACGCGTATTTTCTCGCGCTAAATGCCCTGTACATGTAAATTTCAACTTCTGATTGGTTGAATTAATCCCTTGCTTGGGAGGGAGGTTGCCACAAGACAGGTTGCTTGTTTGATTGATTAATCTTAAAACTTACCAACCAATACTCCCATGACAAAAGTCTTGGGATGGATGGGGTCAAAGATCCACACATACGCCTATAAGTGAAAGATAAAAATGATTTCTTGCGCTCATGAGGGGTAGACTGCGATAGCTTTTTTTTAAAAAATTCTATTTGAGTTTAACCCATTCGCCCCTGAACCGCCCGTAACCGCCCGTGCGGATCCAGGTCCTTTCTATCCTTTGTGACGTCATCAGTTTTAACGGTCAAGGACAACTTTCTTCGCTAACTTGTGCAGAGTGAAGAGATCTTTCAAACCATACCAGAATGAGCACAATTCAGTCAAGGACACCGGAGAAAGAAGCAAAAAACCACGTGACAAGGACCTGAAAATCTCCATGAAAATCTTGTTCCATTACCCACCTACCTTTCCTTTCACCTAATCCTAAGATCCTAAAAGCTTTCCTAAAAACTCTTCCCACCAAAATGAAGCCTACTAAATGCCCAGCAAGAGAAAAAAAAAATGAGGCAAGAAAAGCGAAAAAAGAAGAGAGGAGAGAAAGCGAAAAGTAAAAGTCAAGACGAAATTTTGCTTTCTGCGCATGCCCGAACTTCGCAAGCTGATATTTTGCATCTAGATCAGAAGGCCGCCAAGTGTACGACCTGTAAACCGGTTTGTGGTAAGTTTTAGCTCTTTATAGCGCGACAGTGACCAGAAAACCACTCGACTAGCTTCAAAACGCGTTTTTGGGCAAAATCTCCAGGAGCGAATGGGTTAAGCAATACTGTAAGTAAATAAATACAGGATTTTCTTCTTCATTATTATTATTCACTAAAATTACTATTATTATCAGCCACATCACTAAATTTTGTCCACAGACTCAAGAGCTAGATCATTTACTGTTTAATAAGATAAAATCCTAACGTGTACCCTGGGTACCTGAGATTTTTTCTCACGTGCGGTGGAGACGCTTCAGGGTCGGCTACATGTCGACACGTTCTCGGCCACAGGCAAAGCCACGAATTGCTGTCGTTTCGCCCGAAAGTCGGTCCGCTTGAAGGCGTTAGCTACGACTTAAATCGATTCGCCCGATGACATACACCACTCTACAAAATGGTGAACCGACTTCTTTGAGATGTTATTTTAGTTAACCTTGGATTCCACATGTGTAGTCACTGTCTTTCCATGCTTATTCCTTTTTCTCAGGCTTGACAAAAGAACGACAAATACAGATCGGGCGAATCGACTTAGTCTGGGCGAACTGCTAACGGGCAAATCGACCTTCGGGCGAAACCACCCAATACCAAAGCCACGAGCGGTGAAGCGCGCAAAACTACAACACTTGACCCACTGACACCAAAAACCGTGCATAAAAAGTCTCTGACACCTGGAGTACCTAAGGTGTGACTAGGGCAGTCATTATAGGCCTGGGATTTCCCCCCGACTATCATGAGGATGACCCCTGGCTACCTACATAAGACACAAAAGGGAAAATAACACCAAAAGAACCTCATAGCTGTTGAAATCTCCACCTACTCAATGCATACACACCGAAATTTGAAATTTTAGTAACAGTCAGCCTGCAGTGCCAGATCCAGACCTTGAGATAAGTTGGGGGGAGGGGCAGTCATCCAGACCCTTAGATAAGGGGGGGCCCGGGTCCAAAAATAACGGGGAGGGGGAATGGTACAAGAAGAATGGTACAAGAAGAAATTACATTTCTGAATTTGAATTTTTTCTGGGTTAAAGAGGTACACTTTAAGGACAATAAAACAAAGACGGCATTGTAGGTACATGTAACTCACACATACCTCATCATCATCATCCACAAAGATCTGTTCCTCATGTGGTTCCAGCTTTACTTTTACCTTAAACAAATGAAGTAGAAAACTATTACACACATTTAAGGGGGCATTACGGTTGTTTTTTGGGGGGAAATCGATTTGGGAAGGAAATAAATTAGGATAGAAAAGGTATACACATAAACCAGTTAGTCCGCATATGGGATCAGAGGCACTTTCTTGTGGTGGTGGACTACCTCGTATTTGTCGACTAATTCAGCATATTTTAATTTTTAACAACCACCAAATCCAATATTTTCCAATTTATCTAAAATTTCAAACATCCTCCCCCCTAACTTTTATACATTAAAAACATTTGAAAAATCATCCAAATATTCTCAAAAAACTATTCAATTATTACTCCAACTTAATGGAGTCATTGTTTGATTGAATGATATCTTGGCTAGATAGTTAAGAAAACGGGTGGAAATCAACGAAAAATAATGCTTTTAACCAGAATGCCCCCTTTAATAGAAGAGGTTGAAACAAGTACAGTTAGTTTAGTACATGAATTTGTATAAAAGTTGTCATTAGAGGGGCTATGACACAGTTGCCTGGTTACTTTAGTTAATAATGCCAATTAAGCATCCCTATTCACTTTGGAACTTGAGAAATGGGCCATTTGCATGACGACATCTTTTTACTACCAAGACAAGAATTCATGTCGTTTTTCCTTTTCATACTTAAATTTGGTGGTCCCAGTGAGGTTTTTTTTACCAGCTTTTCTGGACTCAGGACTGCCCAGAGGGAATAGGCTCGAAGGGAACTCATAGGTCCCATGCGAGGTGCCATCCCTACCCAATCCCACAACCCGTAAAGGTTGACCACACCACCGGGGTCTATGACCCCTACTCTCTTCGAATAGTGATGTGGGTTCTTTTACATCCCACAAGAACAATCAGTGAAAGTGCTGTGAGACAGGACCTACAGTTTTTCGTCCTTATCCGAGAAGACTTAAGACAGTCTAACCATTTGAAGATCTCATTTATTGCAAAGGCAGCACTTTCTTCTCAGTCATTTAAAGACCCTGAGTGTTGGTCCAACTGGGGTTTGAACCCGCGACCTCGTGCTTGGCAGACCGGTGCTCTCCCAACTGAGCTAACCAGGCAGCGGTTTAGATAACAAAGGCCTTAATTTGCACAAGAAAGCAATACCCTGAAGGATTCTGGTCGTAGTAGTAAAATGACGCCATCGTGCAAATGGCATATTACCCATAAATGGCAAATTCAAAGCTTCGTGTCAAAGAAGTATGTCCCCCAAGTAGTCCTGATATCAAAACTGTTAGGCTAACAGGTTTTCAAAAAGGCACAATAATATTGCAATCCATTTCAATGCTCTGATTCAAGTTTGTCCTTCCGTTCATCCTTTTATATTTGCTGTGTTATTCATACAACTGTAACTTTTTTTATGTTGTAAGTAGTTATCTTTATGTTTCACTCAGTTTTGTAGAGGTTCCCACCATTTTAATTTAGAAATATTTCATGACACAGCTCCCTTAAAAGTAGGCTTGGAAGTAATGGGCGCAAGAAAGAACGGGACATGGGAGGGAGATGTGCGAGGGAACATCCTCCCTCTCCCCTCGCGTTTCTCTCTTGCGCACCCAGTTCTTTCTTCTGCGCACCTACTACGCAGGCTACTTTAAAGGTAAATGCAAACCTTTCTCAGTTTCTTTTTTCCTTCACCTTGGCTGCTTTTCTCAGCTGACTAAAAAAAAACAAAAAAGACATGATAAAATATCATAGTTCATAAAGACCTGAATCTCTTCTTTCAAGACTCTTCAAAGACAAATTCCATTTCTTAAGGTCTTGGTTTCTACACAAATAGACACAAGTGCTGAACTGTAGAAATCTTGGGTAATTGATGTCTTGAAAGGACATGTGCACATACCAACCCAAAACTGGTATTAATTTCCTATTATCAGTTGCTGAAAAATGCAAAGGATGTGCATATTTTCTAGGTGTCATCACCAAAATGTACATAAAAACTTGCACATTTATGATAATAAAATTGAAGACTGTATTCTCCTCAAATAAAAGGGGGCAAAGTTTCTTTTAGTCAAATCTAATTCTCAAGAGGATTGAAGGTCTGTGGAAGATATTCAAGGACTTTTCTGAGAACAATTCCTAAATTTTCCAAATTCATGGACTATTCAATAACCTGGTGTTGTTTTTAAAGGTCTATGCAATCTGTGTATTTATTACTGAAAATAGAAAGCACATATATATTGCAGCAATTAGTTAAATAGACAAAATACAGCTAGGAAATTTCTTACTTTTTGTTTTCCTTCTCCGCTTTCATCATCAACCTTGAAATCAATTAAAAAAAAACAGGGTTATGAGCTTATAGGGTTACTGTAAATATGTGAATTTGTGCCTAAGGCACTGATACATGTATTTAATTTTCTGAGACAAGAGTAGGGAGCATATTTGAAGTCGGTGCTTACTCAGTTTTCAAATTTCAGCCTCAAGGCAGGGCATAAAGAAAGTCAGTTTTACCGCTTACCCAAGCTGTAGCTAGCATGTACTAGCCCAACAGTCATTTTAACTACTGAGGAAAAAATTCTTGACTAGCAGGATTGACTACAGACTCCCTCTGTAATTTTAATCCCCCCCAAAAACTTTACTTGCCTGTTTAGCAGGTTAAGAACAGAGTTCACTAGCCTGATAGCAAATCAAGCATGGCGAAAGGTTTGAACTTAGGATGACTGTGAACAAATCAAGCAAGTGACCAGAGCAGGACTAAAAGCAGGGACCGCTGGATTGCAAGATCAATGTGCTGACCACTCAGCCACTCTGCCTCCACTATTAACAATACATGCATTTTTCTCACTCCCCGCTCCACAAATCATGAACTGTCTTTTATTAAAACTAAGACTATGTACAACTTGTTTTGTACAACAATGAACCAACTGAGGAATACACCAAAACAGTACATTACAGACATAGTTAACTGATAAACCGATAATCAGTATTAATCAACAGTAATTGATATCAACCATCGATGAATATAGATTTCTGATACTGATTGATAGAAATCAACAAAGAAAAAAAGGTGTGACTTTGAATAATATCGATGATTTTCTGATAGCATTCGATGATAATTTTATGTCAAATGCTATTGATTACTATGGATTCCTATTGATTTTTATCAATTTTGTTAATCAATAATAATTGATAAATTATTGTTTCAGCTGTGACTTCGATTTCTATCGATTTCCGATATCAATCAATATTAATCAACAGATTAAATCGATTAATATCGATGACGTCGATTGATTTCCTATCTCGATTCTTATCAATTAACTAAGTCTGGATTATGTACTGACAATACCATGCAAATCACAGCTAACCTTTTTTCCTTCTTCCTTCTTTTGTTTCTTCTTAGTTTTTTTACTGTCTGATTCCTCCTTCTCTTTTGAACGTTGCTCTTCCTTTTCTTTCTCTTTTTTCTTCTCCTCTTCACTCTTCTTCACTTTTTTAATTCGTACAACACGCTCAAAGAAATTCAAAATCAGCAACCTAAAAGTGACATGATATATGTTTACAAGAATATTTAAGTTTAGCAGGGCAGTTTCATAACCACCTGGAAAAGGGGGTAATCTTTTCATTAAAGGGGCTAAAAAAATGTGTTCTCTTGTGTTCTTTGTTAAAAGGCAGGTCTTTGGCCATTTGGGCATTTGTTGTACACTATTTTTGGCATCAAGATAGTGGAGCTCCATGCATTCTTTCTCCCCTTTTTATGCAAAATAGCCCAGCCTTTTCTTTGGAATTTCATGTTACTGCACAACCGCACACCTGTAGCAGCATGTAAACCAAAGTAAAATGTCACACTAACTCACACATTCCAAGCAGTCATATTGAAATGATAATTTGTGATGCTGTTAATATTGTTTGTTTAAAGAATATTATACAACTGTATGTCAGCTACAGTTGACTCCTGATAACTCAAACCCTCACTAAATAGAACCTTGCATTAATTCGAACCACTGGCGATTTCCTCTGGATTTCTGTCATACATTTACTGCACATTTTCCCCTTGGTAACTCGAACTTTCTGCTACCGCAAAGTAATGTTTGTTTCCCCTCAGATCATTTCTATATCATTTCACCCTCGATAAACTGAACCATTTTTTTAGCGTGTGACAAGCTGACTTCCCTTGAAGGTTCGAATTATCTGAAGTCAACTGGATATCAATGTTAACTAACAAAGTAAACCACTGAAAATGAAAATGAACAGTGGAACCGGGAAAACTGTGAACACCAGAAATATTTCTGGAATGTTGTGTTGCAATAAAAAAGCCAATCAGGCATGAGAAAACCACACTGCAAGCAAGAACGTTAATTAGTATCAGGTTTTGTGACTTGCTCGCATGTCCTGAACTTTGTTGTGATTGGTCTTAACACAATAAACATTCTTGAACTATTTCAAGTGTTCCAGGTTTTCCTGGTCGCACTACAACCTAGTTTGAAACACTGGGGTTCTACAGTAATGGTTCACATTACAATTTCATGCTCGGCTCACCTGTCTAAATATAACTCCACTGATACACGATCAGTAAAGAGTATCTCAGCACCTCCTTTGCCTGATGCCCATTTTGAATCCATTAAACAATCAACTGCTTTTGAACCTATCACAAAGTCAAATGAATACAACTCCAGTTGAATACAACTATAGTCAAATGAATGTAAAATCAGTTGAATGCAATTTTCTTGAGAAAATTCTGTCCACAGAAATGATCAGAAGATGTGAAAACAGTTTAAAAGCGTAGCTACTTAAAAAAAGATCGGATTGATTTAGGTTTCTGGAAAAATGCCCACCTACCCCTCCCCTAAGCTAACATTTTGCCCTAGACGAGGGGTGAGTGTTAAGGTCTTAAGGGAGGGGTAGGTGGGCAGTTTCCCAGACACCTAAATTGATCCAAAAAGATCATCTATTACATTTATTTACTACCCTTTAAGTCCCGAGAGCAACCAACATCAATTTTCTCCAAACAATGTCAATAAATAATCAAATCAGTCAAAAGGTTATGAGAATTATTAAAATAGAAGATCAAAGCATTTTCCCTTTGGTGATTATTATGTTCATTCTCATAACTTTTCTACTTGATGATGAATTGATATTGTTGAGACCCATGTGACTAACAGCGGCAGAGAGGTGTCCATCCCAGAGTCAAGGAAACGTTACATCTGGCCCCAGTTGTTCAAGAGGTGGATAATGCTATCTACAAGAAAACATAATTACTGGTTTCCCTAAGATCCACCACATTGTGATTCATCCTTTGGATAGCGCTATCCGAGGTTTGAACAACTAGGCCAAATAACCAGGCAAGATAGTACATGTTATCTACCAAGGTTAAGATGGAATCTATCAGGAAATTGAGTAATTTCAACTTTCAGTGGACAAAAACCTTGTACCTGAATAATTTAAACAATACCGCATTCTTTTTTATCTTTTTTTATCTGTAATAACACCAAAGACTATTTCTCATGGGAGCCCGAGAAAATAAATGTCAAATTTTACAAGAATTGTGAAAACACTGGTAAAATTCTGAAAATTTCATGTGAAAGATGTCATTTTGTGAAATTTAACATATGTTTTCTTGGGCTCCCATAGGAAATTTTCTTTGGTGTTATTACAGATGACTAATTACATCTATAGCCCTTGAAAAATGTAACAAAGAATGCAATATTGTTTAAATTATTCTGGTACAAGGTAAATTAAAATTACTCAATTTCCTGATGGATTTCGTCTTAAGTTGTTTCTTATGGTTCCTTTGTCCTCTAGCTCTAATTCAAGAAAATGCAAGGTCTTTCTCAGGGAGAGGGGAAAATAATTGTTCATAAAGGTTTAGTTTTGTTTCTACAGTTGAATCTTTCAGATCACTGACTAATAAATTTTGCTTAGTGTTGAAACCAAATTTTCATCCTGCAGCCTCTTGTTCTGAGCCAAATTCAGTGTTAACGTCTTCACTAGATATTTGCTGTCATATATCTCACATTTCCTCTTTTCTTTCTGTGGCACTTTAACACAGACAAAGTGATTTTTCAAGTGTCTGTAAATAATATTGTTTCATAAGTATATGCTGTCCTTTTCAGAGAACTGCAAACCATAGACTGAGGGGGCAAGATTTTTAAAAGGGGGGGGTAAACAAATTTGCCCAAAAATCCCTGAAACTCAAAGTTGAATGAAATCGCCTGATTTTACAAAACAGTCCAACTTATGTAGGGCCATGCGATGCAACAACATAAGCCGTTCAAATTCAGCATATGAAATTTGGCTTCGATACAGTTTTTCAGAGTCAATACCTGTGAAGTTTTTTTTTTGAGCATAGACTATGACACCATAAACAAACTTTTTGGAAAAATTGCCACCATAAAGTTTTATTTATTTAGATAAAGATGAAAATTTGATTTTATGATCCGGGTTGCAATAAAATCAGAGTTGTTTCATAGCAATTAAATGAGCGCCATTTTAGCTAAAGCTTTTTATACTTGTAGGAACAACATTTCTCACTGGAAACTGTTCTTCTGAAAATCGATTTTTCTAGTCATTTTCCTCAATGTTTTCTTCTCGATGTTCACGCTGAAGTTAAAAGCTTGGTTTTCTTTGGAGAATGTTGCGGAGATGTTTTGGGATAAATTTTTTTATCGTTGTAAATATGGTAAAAAGGAAAATCTTGATGTTTGGCTGTCATCTGTAGAAAATGAATCACTTTTGCCATTCATGCAATTTCACCTCATAGTACCTTTCAATCTTTTTTGGCTGTAGGCAAAAGATCATGGTAATAGCTCTGGCAAAAAAGGATTTGAGTATTTAGTATGTATCAAAGACTGTTGAAGCGGTTTTGTAAAAATTCCAGTCTGAAACTTTAACAAATTAATTAAAACTGTTTTTTAAACCAGATCGATGATTTTTTTTTAAAAATCTCGATTCAGCTGAATTCAAATTCCAAATTATTCAGTGGCCACTTCTTCACTTTCAGACCCATTGCTGATGCTATCTGCCATACACTGTTCACATAGGCGGAGATGATTCTAGAAAGTTTTAGGTTGAAATTTCTTTTCCAATCAATTCGCGACTGGAAATAGCCCATTGCAGTACAGTGCCCAACAATAAAAAAAAAAACTCATTTTGTGCTAGGCAACCACTGTCTCGGTTATTGAATGTAACAGTACTGGATTATTACGAAGAAACTTTAGGTTAAAATATAAAATATTTATCTCTTCAAAATAATGATTTAAAAATACGGAAACAGGTAAAACTTCATTTTTGCCCAAATTTTGGACCCTGTGTTTAACACAAAAAGTCCGAGTTGTCTGTAAATTTGGGGGTTTCATAAGTATATGCCCCCCTGTCCTTTTCCTATGACTGTTTGTCTTAATGACAGTTCAGTACAATAACAGTTATTGTAAACTGACCCTGGGGGACCAGTACAGGGAAATGTCAGATATCTTAGCTTTTACAATAGTTGACCTTTCTTAATTCTTTTGAAAAAATCCATTAGGCTAGTAAGTTATAGATATTTGACCTTTCTTCATAATTATAATTAAATGATTATCGTGCATATCTTCCTGTCTTAAAAGTGTATTTTTACTTTGCACGTTGTAAGTAATGTGAGTTTCCCTTTTCAAAACAAATTTATTATGTTGACAAACAACAGTATGCTAAGATTATTTTCAATCATTGACGCATGAAATTGACTAATAAAGCGAAAAATTTAGTCAGCTAATTTGATGACCACAGAAAAAAATGTCCCACAATGTGAAGATTACCAACATCAAGCATAATAAAACCCGCAGAATAACATTACCAACGTTGTGTTGTATGAGCCGAGAGAAGGTTAGCATCTCCCTCGATAAGGACGAGAAAAGTCTTCGGACTTTCAACCTACAACACATGGTTAAGGCTATGCCACTTACTTCGTGGCATCTACCAATTTTTTCCTCCATACAAAATAATAATTTATGGTGTATTCTAGTACTATTAACAAAAGGACACGTCATGTTTTAAGTAAAACTAGTGTTTAAAAACATAAATAACTCTCGCTATTTTTCTCACTCAAAAAACGCGGATACAGTGTAAATAGAGTTCAGGGATGGATGAGATACAACAACATCGTTGATCATAACACACTGGAAACAATGAGTGAAGAATTTTCTCCAATCCGAATCGAATGAACAACATGTATTAATTAACGTAAGCTTTCATGCTTCGTTAAAAACAATGCATTCTTTAGTTAAGGCTATGCGTTATTTCCATGAGGAGAAAAATAGAAATAAACTACTCTATTCGTCTGTGCACTAAGAAGAGATAAAAAAGACATATTAAGTACTTATTTACCGATAAAATATTCGACTTTTTGACCCATCATCGTCGACGTTTTGGATGGGCAGTTGAATCTGAGGTACTTTCCGACTTCTTGTTCTTCTTTGGTTGGTTCATTGTTTTCTTCTCGTGCCTAAGAATAAAATAATTTGTTTTTTCTTGATTAAAATCTCTGAAAAGTCGGTCCGTGGGGAAAAAAGGCGACTCGGAAAATAATAAAACATGCTTGCAAGAAGCTCAGCGTACGGACAGCGTACTACATCGACTGCAGCGACCAAATATGACATAATATACAAACCTTCCATCCCACAAATACACAGAATAGAATAAAAGATTAACTTACCTCCTTCTTCTTCCGTCTTTTCACGACCTTTTGTTGATCTGCCATCGTTTCACTCAAAAAAACACCAAAAAATTTAGCTAGATGAACAGATCAGACAATTCTCGTTGTTCAAAGATTTACGAAGAAAGCCGAAGCTTTCCGAAAAAATCCGACCAGTCCGACCAAGGCTGTCGATCGTCACGCAAGTAACTTGTTAAATCGTGACAATATTTGGTTGGTTTTTTCTACCCTTGGCCGAGGCTCCATGATTTAGAAGTTTAGTTGTGAGAACCTTACTTTTATTTTCAAATTCACCTTCCTGGACTTTTTTTTATTGTTTGATTAGGCTGGAAATGGCTAAAAAAGAGATTTGTAATTGCTGATTTCTGCTAACTGGATTTTTCGTATTTAGGGGGGGCGAATCTACTATTCCGATGATTTTTTCTGGCTTTCTTTTTCCCCTTTGCCTTTCATTTTTTACAGCCAGTTTTATTGCCCACTTAATCGTCCGTAAACTCTAAATCCTAATGGTTTCCCGGGGGGGAGGGGAGGGCAACTGAGGGCAGTTTGGGTTCAGGTGAGCCGCTTAGGTCTTTAAACCCTAGCCCCAGAATCTGTATCCGTATTTTGCTACTCTGTTTATGGCAAGAGACTGATTTTCATGACTCTGTTTAAGACTGTAGCCCAAATGCCCTGTTTAAGGAGATATTTTCTTTTTAGATACAAGTATAAAATAGAATATTCTTCTGGAGACACATACAAAAAGCTTTTTTGAGATTGCTGACAGAAGAAAATTAGATTACTTTAAAAAACTTCGTTACACACGTAGACCGCACCCCGCCAAAATTCACACCCTGTTTAAGCCTTCGGGACTGAAAAGACACCCTGTTTAAGACGCCCGATAGTGAAATTATATCAAATAATAGACTCAAGTTTCTGAAAACCAGGGATCAATTTAGGTTTCTGGGAAGCTCCCACCCACCCTCTCCCAAGCCAACATTTTGCCCTGAGTGAGAGCTAATTGACAATAATGTTGGCTTAGGGGAGGGGTAGGTGGGCAGTTTCCCGGAAACCTAAATTGATCCAAAACCATACCCTGTTCACATACCCTGTTCAGCGGGACATACCCGTATAGGCCAAATAAGGAAGTGCCCCACCGGGAATCGTTTTCCCGGGAGCTTATCCTCACTTTACCCTAGGGTGACGATTGCACATTGACGATTGCTCATTGCATTGACGATTGCACATTTTATAATACAAGGTGTTCGTAACACGAGTATTTTTCCAGTTTGTTTTAGGTTAATGTTTAACGCTAATGGTTTGATAATATGATATGACCCTTGAATTTTTGGACGACACGCATATTTTTCACTTTGTGTTAGACTAACATTAGACTGCCTGCAGTCCGCCTTTTCTCTTAAAATCCGTCCAGTTCTTATCTCATCCAGCGCGATTGCAAACCACGATGTTATTATTTAGGGATTACGCCCTCGTTTCTCTCGACAAGCGGCCTCGCCGCTCGCGTGCTTAGGTTTCGCGTGCAGTAACTTTGCAAAGAAAAATAAGATAACTGCTCGCAGTCTAGACTAACATACACACTTTCTAATGGCTGTACAGTCAGCTTTGTTTCATTTTTTTTTCACAGGAAAGGTTGATGTCTTGATCTAGCAGGTTCTGACGCCCTTGTTTGAACTTTGGTCCTCCTTTGGTCCGGTTACCGGCCGGGCGGGGAAGGGGGTACCGGGGATTCTTCGTGGGGGTGTTCCGCCCGGGTTTTCCAAATCTACCCTATTTTAGACCAAAAAACTGTCATCTTCCACCCCCGTTTTCAAACCTGGTGCGTTCAGAAATTATGTTATCATTATTTAGATTTCAGATCAGAGCACCAACAAAAAGATTTCTTAATTAAACCCATTTCGAATTCGCCGGCATGTGGAATTAAAACGAAAAATACGTTCATGCATTCCCGTATTCCCTCGAAAACACTCGAATTCAGACCGAAATAGACAAAGTTTACACCCGTATTCAGACCAAAACGGTGCAAAACCCTTACCCTAACCCTATGGGGCGGCAAAATATAAGGTAATACCCCCCCCCTGGATTTACCGAAACAAGGAGCTCTCGATGGTTTTAAATTAACCCGTGCAATAGCTCATTGACTGATCGGTTTTAACTTTCACCTGAGTATGAATTAGGGTCACCTGAGAAATAAGTGGATTTGAAATCTAGTAAGGTCATATTGCCAAGGGGACCTGATCTCCGTTCCTTCCCGGCCCCGGATTCTACGGTTTATCGCTGCGTGGGAATGCAAATAAGAACGTATGCTTTCTACGTCAGAGTCGAATGATTGACAGCCTCGCGCACCCGTGACGTTTTATGGTCCACCTGATTGTTCTCCGACTAATCGGCTCCTGTCTCCGATAATCATTTTAACATTGGGTGTGAACACGCTCGATAGCACCTCATAATTCTATTAAAAGTAAGAAAGCTGTTTGCTTTATTTAACGATTTGTACTTCGTTGTTCAGATGAGAGACCGCATTTTTTTCGTGTCTATGAGCATAAAATGTTGGGGATTAAGATACAACTGAGAACTAGTTTTTCCGCTCGGAAGCATTCCTTCAAGTTTTGCGTAGGACAATCAGATTGTAAATTAGAACCGTTGCCCATTATAGCACTATGTCATTAGCAACCGTTCCGGACAAAAAATAGGGGAATTTTTGCTCCCCCCCACCCATGGTCATTTATAGATCCTGTGATCATGATCCCCGAAATCCGGTCTTAAGCCCTAAATCTGTATCTATCACCAGTCTGGACACCTAAATCGATTGTATTAGTCAAAAACAAAAACAGCTCATCTGGGAATGACATCCACAAGGCCACACAAGCCCACATAGCTAAGATGGTCAACACCCCGGGTAATTTCAATCATTCTTACGACTTATGGCCTTTGTTGACAAAATAATGTCATAAAATACAATATCGTCTACCTCAATGTATTTTACACCTTTTAAATTTGGTAATGAAATCACTGTCTTTAGCGTATGAGAGGCAGTTTTTCTTTAATAGTCATCCCCATTCCCTTGTTACTAAGGTTTTAAACAAGCCATAGTTTCAGCGGGTGAGGCTTTTAATGGTTCATTAAGTCTGCATTTACTCTTGAATAAACACACATTCCTTCTGCAAACGTGATAAAATTCATCACCGATCACTTGTGTTTACATTCATCAACTCTTCAAAACTTAATTATCAAACTTGACTCAGTCACGGCATTTGTCCCAGTGGGCCTACCACCTCGCAAATTAAAGCAACCAATTTTCCCCGCAAGCAAAAATTCCCTGGTATACTCTCGTAAAATTACTTTGTAACTTAAAATTGCGTGCTTCGTACTGTGCTGTTGAAAAGGCCGCAGGGTGTTACAAATTGTTGATTCAATTGTTCTCCAAATGACAGATCAGACATAAGCTAATATCGTTTGACCTTTCTGACAACTGCCATTCTTGTAGTACAGTGCGGACACTCATTCGCGCATTATACGGCTCAAGTAGCAGTGGACAGTATTGTGATTTTGCTTGGAATTTTTACGGCTTTTTCAAGGTAAGGAACGTAAACATTTCCTTCTAATGATACTTCAAATGATTTTCTGAACCCTGCAGCGAAAGTGGTTCTAAAAAAACCATTAAAAAGCTGTGGTTAAAGGGTTTTGTTCTTTCCCATGGTGTCGCAGATAATATTGATTAAGGGAACATGATTGCAGTTGCTAATCTTCTTCACAAAGGAAAATGATGCCTTCTGAAAACAAATAGTCCTCACTTCAAAGATTTATCAGCTCTCAAAGTTGTAAAGACCATATTCTGAGACGTTTTTAGACCATAAACTACAATGTCTGATTCACACGAAAGTGATACCTGCAGAATTTCGGTGAAAAATACCACGGTCTGAACTCTTTAAAGAAATGGAATGCTGTAAAGCCGTCATGAGTATCGCACGTAATCTTTCAATGGGTCGACTGTCGAGGTCATGAGATTGTGAGTGACTCTAGGCAGATTAGATTCAAGTTTATGTTATTGAATAACGAGCCTGGTGTGAAAACAGTATCTTTAGAAAATGATACAACTATCTTTGGTAATATTCTGCTAAGTTTTGCAGCTGGTTGTGACGTAATGCGTGCGGATTTGTCGGTTGTGAGAGCTCGGCTTTTATTTTTGTCTGTGTCGAGGAGCCGCGCTTATAAAGAACAGATCTAAGAGGATTCGAGATTATCGGTCAACTTTGTGTAAATACATAATATTGAGGTCATTATGACTGGGTCAAAAGCGTTTGGATTGGAAGAGATATGCCCACATTCCTAAAAGAAAATTACTTATGCCTTTGCAAAGGAGATTTTTTTGTCAGTAAGTCGAACCATTTGGAACCATTTGCTAAGGTTTGGATCTCTCGTTTTTCAGCATATTCGTGTTTGTTGATAGTGCTGACAGCTTATATAGAACAAAAGTCTAAGTGGGAGGTCATATACAGGCATTTTACAGATTCTGCACGTTGCCCATCAACGCCAGAATAACAGACTGCTACTAAACACTAAATGACTGTTAAGTGTTCTGTTTTTAATACCTGCACCAAACTTTCGGCGCACAAGAGCTGAAAACTGGGCGAGCTACCAAAAGACGAAAGTGCGAGCTCCGTCAAACGCGGAATTTTTACTCATTACAGCCTTAGTGCAAAAAATTTCCGATTACTCTTAACACGTTAAATTAAATCCGCATTGTTTTTCAATCATTCGATCACATTATTACGTTCCGGTATGCTAGGTTGCTATGTTTTTTTATGTCACGCATGGAGAACGCGTTATTTTCGGCAACGACATAAATATTCCCTTTAAAAGCGTCTTAATGCATTCTTAGTTTTAATTTTAGACCGGTGTAAATGCAGTGTTATTAAAGATATTAGTACTGTATGTTTAATATGCTTGCGAGACAACACCGAATTATCCAGATTTATGCTGCTATACTCAATTTCATCCGCCCCCATCCTCTGTAGCCACTTAACGAGATTAACGCACAAAAGTTGCATTTTCTTTATTTCTTTCATTGTTTCGATGCTAAACAGAGAGAGTAGTTGATCGCGGTCACCTACTCAAAGAATTTAAGTCGT